AAGGTTTGACAGCGGGGTCCGTACCGATGCGGCAGCAGGTGCAGGCTCAGGGAAGGTTTGACAGCGGGGTCCGTACCGATGCGACAGCAGGTGCGGCCAAACTAAAGCCACACCAATATTTCATTTGTGATTTTCGCCAGCATGAAATATGGGTTAGTTTGGAACAATTTTGTTTAACACTTTCACCGCTAAGGACGTATACTTACGTCCTTGAGAATGACCCCCGTCCAATAAGGACGTATACAGTGGAGATCGGATATAGCAACACTCCTTCGGGAGAAAACAAAATATCGCCATATTCAATCTGTCACTAAACCCGATCTTCACATTTACATGTAGTGTGCATATGAAAATGACAGAAATGTATTGCAGGTGTGCATGTGCATAATAATGCATATGGATTTCAGACGTGCATGTGCATGTGTTTTGCATGCATAGTTCAAGCCAAAGGTCATACATAGCAACTACACCACGCGCTGCACTCCTAGAGTACCAAACGTCCTGTTTGATGATCAGCTGGCTTAGTTTTTCTCCACCTCTATCCTTATTACATCCCTCCCCAATTTCATTTATTACTGCTTTCTATCTGCATTCGCCACCTTTTCATTGGGCAGATCTGCCCGTTTGGCTTGCGAATTAAAATAAACACAACAACAACAACAACAACAACAACAACAACAACAACAACAACAACAACAACAACAACAACAACAACAACAACAACAACAACAACCAGCACAAAAAGCCGCTGCCCTCAACGAATTCTTCATTTCACAGAGCAAGCTGTCCGTGGCCAATGCGGATGAGCAAACTCCAGCCATCAACACCACCCCTGACATCCTCAGTCCCCTTCAAGAAATCTCGACTTCCCAAGCTGAGGTCGAAAAACTCCTCCGAGGAGTTGATACCAACAAAAGCCCCGGGTTTGACTCTATTCCAAACCGCCTCCTCAAAGAAGCGGCTAAGGAACTTGCACCGTCGTTATCGTCCCTCTTTAACCTATCGTTCCAAACCGGAGAAATCCCACAGGAGTGGAAAGATGCCACCATTACTCCAGTACCCAAGCCGGGTGACCCAACCCAACCAACAAATTATAGACCCATCTCTCTCTTGAGCACTACATCAAAAATCCAAGAAAAAATTGCACATCAACTCCTCTACAAGCACATCACACCCCACCTGCCCAACCAGCAGTCCGGATTCCGCGAGAAAGACGGCACTGAGCAGCAGCTCGCCCGTCTCGTCCATACCCTCTCCACTGCGAGAGACGACGGGAAACACGTCAATGCCTGCTTTTTCGATCTAAGCAAGGCCTTCGATCGTGTGTGGCATGCAGGCCTTCTAGCAAAACTCTCCCACTATGGTGTCCAGGGCAACGCCCTGGAGTGGTTCCGACGGTACCTGTTGGGGCGTCGGCAAAGGGTCCAGGTGGATGGCGACCTATCGCCTTTCCTCGAGATCCCTGCCGGCGTCCCTCAGGGATCTGTTCTTGGGCCGCTTCTATTCCTCGTCTACACCATAGACCTTCCACATGCATGTGAGAATCCCGGCACCACCTGTAGCCAGTTTGCAGATGACACCGCTCTGATTTCCATAGCGAGAACTCTTCAAGACTGCACCCGAAACCTACAACAGAGTGTCACAGCAGCTGGAGACTGGCTTCAAAGATGGCACCTGCTGGTTAACACAAAGAAAACAGTCATCCTCCCGTTCTACCACAATAACCGCCCCCCTGAACAGCTACCCCAGATCACCCTCAGGAATAGTCCGCTTACCGTAGCACAAAAACACAAACACCTCGGAATAATCTTTCAGCATGACCTCCGTTGGACGGAGCATGTTGAATACATAGTCAAAAAATCACTCAAGTCTTTCAATATTCTTTTTAGACTAAGGTCTACACTCACCAGTGATTCTTTATCTCACATCTATCAGACATACATACTACCTATATTCTCATATGCGAGCACTGCTCTCACACCGTTGTCCCACACTTCCCTTGACAGATTAGAACGACTCCAGCGGAAAGCCGCCAGAATATGTCTCCACCTTCCCCTTTACACACACTTAGAACACTCCCACCTTTTGCATCGCATCAAATGGCCAACATTATTTTCACGTTTTAAAGTTAAACATATACTCTTCGCGCATTCTCTGCGCCACAATTATGCCCCACCACATATACTCTCGCTGCATACTGCTAGCAACGTGCAACCTTCGTATAATTTACGCCGCTCTCGTACTTGGCACTTGCCAACTCCGCGGACTGACCGCTGTCTCCATTCTCCCCTGTACAAGGCCCTTCATTACTTTAATTGCCTGCCCACCCAGCTTCGCGAAATCCCTTCTCGTACTCCCTTCAAATCCGAGATATCCCTGCTGTTGCACAACTCTGTATGCTCGTGTAGCGACCACCCCTGCCCGTACACTTAAGTACGCAACTCTGTATGCTCGTGTGGCGACCACCCCTGCCCGTACACTTAAGTAGTCATTAACCCCTAGGCCCTGCCCACCCAATTCTTCCTCACTCTTTCTCCTTTCTTACACTATTATCTCTTATTGGCCACTGGCTATCGTGAGAATAAAGATTTGAAACAACAACAACAACAACAACAACAACAACAACAACAACAACAACAACAACAACACTGCGGCTACCAGCACGCGTGGAGTGACCCAGAGGTCCGGGCATGTGACAGTGACACAGACATGTCTAATGCATGCCACTCCGCCTGGTACAAGAGGAAAGTCGTTATATTGAATGCATTTTCAGGTCTTTGGGCACCAAAAATTGTCAGTAAAATCGATCGGTCGTTATTTTTCGAGGTCGTTATACCCGATCTATAATGTACAGAAAGGACTTGCTAAAAGAATTGAGCAACAGAAATTTGTCGCTGAACTCGATTTGTCGTTATATCCAATCTCCACCATATTTGCACCGAGTGTACATCGCGTACTGATGAAACATGTCAGGAGGCGTGTACGTTCAAACAATCGTAACTCAGTCAATTCCAACTCAATTCTCATAATCGAAGTATAGAGGTCAAAGGAAAATCTCCCAGCTTTCGATTGCAACAATTGCCAAAGCGATTGGATAAAGGACCGCTGAGCTATGACGCTCGACGGCCACAACAACTACGGAGGATTAGCAAGACGAAATTCGCGTTCGCGTTCGCAAACATTTTTCGCATTTTTCGTTCGGAAAAGCAGTCGGAACACGTATCGCGGATTCGTGTCAGGGCAGTCATAAAGTTACCACGCTGTACTGTCTGTACACAATGTACGTCGTGTCAACGTCATGCACGTGCGAATTCTGTTTGCTAATCCTTCTCATAACGCGAATTCCGTCACTGAGTTCGACTTTCCTTGGAGAGCGAACGCGAACGCGAATTTCGTCTTGCTAATCCTCCGTACTATTTTTGCGCCACGTGTGGGCGCTCGGTTTTCATTTTTTCTGCATTTTTGCCATTTGGTGCCATGGCAACTGCAGTTCAAATCAAGCAGTGGACTCGCGGGAGTGTTCACATGAAAATTGAGCTGGATACGAGCAAGCAGAGTGGAATGGCGGGTGAAAGCTCAGATTCTTTGACTTGCGTGACCGCGCGATGACTTTGGGACAGATTCGCTTAGCTCTGTAGCTGGTGTACGACCTTGTAGATACTTGTGTTTTAGTTCAGCGTTTTGCTCGTCGCAGTAGCTTTCTTGGAAGCTCTAGATCCAGGAAATTGGAGCATGGATGCCAGAGTTATGAACGTTTTAGATGTGTACTTCGGTAACCAGTCCTGGAGATGTCCTAGATAGGACATCACGGAACCCAGCATGCCCCAGCATACATACTATGCTGTTCCCATAGTAATCGTGACACGTGACTCAAAACTTTGTGTCGCGGCTGAGGAAGATGACAAGTCTCACTCAAAACAAACGCAACGAAGGCCTTTCGTCTCAAAAGTAATAATTATTATTAGTTGTCGTTCTCCTGGCAGCTTGCCTCAAGCGAGTCGAGATTCGTATCTTGCCTCTTGCCTTCACGAATTTTATTTTCCTCGTTGTAGAGTACGCCTGGACAAAGGAACTGGCAAGCGAATCGTTTTGGTCGCATTGAAAATTGCAAGTGCACAAGAGGGTTGGCGAAGCAATTAATTTGTGTTCGCACTTTCAGCAGTGCAGTAGCTGCTGCTGCGATAAAGTTTTTACTTTCGCCACTGGTTTCAGGCAGCAGAAGGATCTGGCTGAAAGTGATGGCGATACGTCCATGACCACCACGTCCTGGGTTGATATCCAAGAAAGACCGTCCAAGGTCCAGTTTTAGCCAAGAGCTGTCGTATCCAAGAAATCAAAAACGCCAACAGCAAGCTTTGGCCAAATAATATCTTCCAGGCAGTGATTTACGGGCCTAGCGCCTGCTGCCTCGTCTTCCTCCTCTGCATGGCCAGGTTTGGGGCGAAATGAACGCACGGGGCGTGAAGAAACATTCCAAAGGCAAAACATTCACAGAAGCAATCGTTTCCGAAGAAGCGCCGCGTGGCTACGAGAAACCCCACATGAAATCCCCAAACGAAAACGGCCATTCGGTCGGGTATTCGATGGCGAATCGAATATACACTACCTCAATCCCCGCCGATGTCTGATATTCTCCGCCTATTCCCTCAAACTTGACCAATTCGGAAAGAAATCCATCGCCATTACGATCGTGCATCCTCCACATACATTCAGAAATGCTCACGCAGCACTTCTTTTCATCGCGTGTGCGCGACCGACGTTTCCATGACAACTCTGGGACAGGTAACCAATCAGACTCATTCAGAGTGCGATGTCCTAGATAGGACATCTCCCCGACTGGTAACAAAAAGACCCATTTTCGCTGGTCGTTAGTGAACAGGTGGCAGTACCGTGCAGTGCCGAGAAAGACGCCCTGTTTCAATTTTGAGCACATTTCTATCACTCATATCATTATGCTTTAGTAGCTCTAGACAATCGATTGTGATGACATGTTCACTTACCATGGCTAGGTCTCTTTGCGCAACTTTCACAAACTCGTGCATTTCCTCCGCCATCGGACGATCCTCTGCACTGTTGGAAAGGCCGCGGATGATGGCAGGCCTCAGCGGATGGTCGTCTGGTATCCTGGCCAAGTCTACCTGGCGGCGTTCGACTTCACTAATGACCCTCTCCTCACATACTCCATCCACTCTCTCCACAACTCTGGCCCTGGGTGAGCTAAGAAGGTTTCGCGACGGATCGGCTCCAGTCAGGACGCTTGTCGCTAGCACAGCGAACGAGAATATGTCCAGTGATTCAGTGTACACGGCCAACTCGGAGAGGGCCTCCGGAGGCATGTACAAATGAGTCCCAGGACACGTGGTGAGGTCGGCCAAGAGTCCGACCAGATGCCTTTGGGTAACTCGAGCAACTCCAAAATCAGCGAGTTTCGCGACATTACCCTTGATCAGCACGTTCCGCAGAGTCAGGTCACGATGAATCACTGGCGGATCGTTGCTGTGCAGATAGCACACACCCGCTATAGCGTGCTCCAGGAACGACATCAGGGTTAGATCGTCCAACCTGCCTTCACCGATGCTGCATTCATGCAAAGTGCGATCGAAGAGCTCGACTACCAATGCAGGCAGACCACGATCGGCAGTGGATCCTATGCCAAGCGTTTGGCAAAGGTTAGGGTGGTGAAGGCGAGAGAGATTGCTAATTTCAGCACCAAAGCGTCGCAGCTTATCCTCTCTTCCGTGCACACCTCGTTGTACGAGGAGAGAGTGCAGCACTTTCGCAGCCGCGGGAATGCCTTGCCATTCTACCCGATACACGACTGCGTCAGATCCGCGACCAATCTCGTCTTCATCCCTCACCGCGAAAGCTCCGAGGTACGCGATTTCACCTCTGACCAAACCCAAATCTTGCAGAAGAGACTCCTCCGCCGTTGTCATTGTCGACAGAGACGAGAGGGTGGCGAATGCCTTCGCCCAACCCCCAGCTTTTGGAACGTGAAACCAACTAATACTTGAAGGATTGGAACAAAATGAAACAAAATTAGAACACGAAGAATGAGCGCAGCTCAGCCTCAGGAGTCAGGTGCAGAACAGAAGCCAGAAGGGCCGAGATTTTGGAACACGGGCGCATGGTTAGCATTTTATCGTTCGACGGTTGGCGTGCACGCGTACCGCGTGTACGTACTGTAGAGGGCGAGTCTACTGATTACTGTGTGTTTTCGAGTTAGCAGTTCGGCTTCTGTTACACTCGCGATCATTGCCGAAGATGCGTTGCCATGGTGCAAAAATGGCCGTCATTGAAAAAAAAATTGTTTTGCTTTGTCTTTGTTGCTGGAGGGTTTGAGTCTTTGAGATACTGTAGAGATTTGGAGTTGGTCAGCAGAGAGTAGTCGTGAGAAATGGAGAAAGAACGTGAGAGAACCTGGACTGCGGATCAAGTTGCTCTGTTCCAGCGGAGGCGAGCAGAGGGTTACGATCTGCCCAGACACGTCGCTCCTGAATATTTCGAGTGGCTCGATGTGCAAGTGGCACTCGAAACCAGCGCTGAGCAGAGTGCCGATGACAGTGTTCCTGCCTGGACTGCGGATCAAGTCGCTCTGTTCCAGCGCAGGCGAGCAGAGGGTTGCGATCTGCCCAGTTTCATTTCAAGTGGCTGTGCAAGTGGCACTCGAAACCAGCGCTGCGCAGGGTGCTGATGTTCCTGCCAGTGTCGCTGCTTCAGCCGGACTGGCGCTGGCGTCTCCAGTGCAAGCAGTAGCTCAAACCACTCCTGAAGTAGACAATCATAGAGTTCTGGCAGGACTTTATGGCTGAATCAAGGCCGAGTGCATACGGCCAAGGGCGCAGGCCAAGGCGCGTAGCGCCGAGGCCTGCGCCCGCGGCCGTGCGCACGAGGCCTTGATGAAGGCGGAAAGTCCTGCCAGAACTCTATGATCGTGTTTCAGGCTTCCACCAGGAAGTCATAAAAGGCCGGGAGAGGACACGGCACACATTCCCAGAAAACATCTTTGCATCGCGCTGCCGGGGGAACGCTGCCAGGGATCGGTGTTGCGAGGCAAGGAAATTATTATTTTCGAAAATTGTGATGTCTTCTTGAAATACTAATTGGGACATTCTCCGATTTCTCTTAGAGCACGGAGACGATTGCTCCGTCGAGCCTTCTGATCTCTATTTTCATCCTCAATTCTTCCAGCTGCCTCACTCATTCTCTCTCAGTTTATCGAAGTTAATTTATTCTGAGGCGATGGAAATGCAAGATAAATCCCTAATTGTACTTCAATTTTATTTGAGTTGGGGGTTAACGAAATGAGATTTGTGGAAAATGACGCCACTTCCCGTGTTAGCCGCTGGTCGTATCATACAGCCCATATTCCATTGCAGTTGATGGGCGAAAGTTCTTGTGGAGATCCGCTGAGCTTCCTCGTACTCGTGGAGTTATGAATTTGTGTCAGAAATTGCACTGAAATTGCAGTCGAGTGGATTTCTGTGCGTGTGTTGTGAGTGAATCGCAACGGCTCCCTTCCTTCAGCATCGTCAAAACGCAACATAGAGCATTATTACGCACTCGTTCCATGATTCATGATTTTGCCTGGATTCTTTTTAAAAACAATCAATGTGTGTTCCCTATCTATCTACATTGTACATGGTTGCAGGTCGTTATTTATAAATCTTGATAATTTCAACACTTTTCTTAGTACTCGTATACTGAGTACGCGGTGACTTTAGCCGTTTAGCAAACGGAAAGCTCAGCCTCCAGGTTGGCCAGAAAGGTTCTCAGTGAATCTAACCGAAGTCTTGGCGAGTGTACAAAATGTAAACCTATCATTTGTACTTCGTAACGGAATTGTGCACAAAAATGCGCACACACGCACGCATGCGCCCGCACAGACACACACACAAACACTGTACAAACACACACAAAAGTACAAGCACATGTGCACATACACACGCCCCCCCCCCCCCCCACACACACACTCAACTCCCCACACCCTGTACCATGTGTACTGAGTCTGACAGACAGACACACAATCATGTTTATGCTTCCTTCGCCACCAGTTTCGGATATGGTGTCAACAACAAGTAACAGTTAGTTGTAAAATATTGGTATTTTAGGATTCCCTGCCCTGAACTACTTGCTGAAGACGAGCACAGCGCCGTGGATCGAGCAGATCCGGCCGCGCCAGCCTAGCGTGCTTCACTTTCTGGCCGAGGCAAACATCGTCCGCGTGCGCGCATCCCGTGTCCTCTCCCGGGCTTTTACGACTCCCTGGTTTCCACTTAGGGCGCGTTCAGACTGGCGTAAAAAACAAGCGGAATGTGAAAGTTGTCAAGGTGAATCGCTCACGTGACGTTCCCGCCAGCGTAAACACGGAAAAGGTTTCCCACCACTCTGCAGGCCAGTGGAATGCAGATTCCGGCGGCACGCGGAGCGCTTTTGATATCCTTGCAGCACATGTTCCGTCTTTTCGTTTTATTTCAGCCTCTACTCTTGCAGTCTGACTGCATGCTTTTGAGTTTTGACTTCTAGACTGCCAACTATTACTTCTCCCATCATGCCGAAATCTTTGTTCGACTCAGCAATGGAGAGGGAGTTCATGGAGCCGCGTGTACGTGGTGATTTTTGCGGGCCGCTCTGCAGGCAAAACGCTTGCTGCGAACGAGAAGCATACTCTGATCGCGGAGCGGATGAATGCCACCCAAGCACCAAACACTCCGGACATAGTATTCTTTCCGTCGACAAGCACAATGATCCAGTATCTCAACAGACTGAATTAGTTTATTTTGATATCCAACTCAAACTGAGTCAACTCAAATTTTTCAAATGTCTAAGCTTCACATGTACTGGCCATTCCAGCGGGATATATGATACACGTGCAGTGTGATTGCGATTCCCGGGATTAAGCTGCAGGTTTCCGGCGGCTATTCACGCCAGTCTGAACGCGCCCTAACAAGTACAATGTCATGTAATAGTTACATCCTTTGAGCCGCGTAGATGGTATGTATAGGATATTGCACGGTTCCCAGGGGATTATTTTTCAAATCCCCTAGGCGCGCAGCGCCGCGGGGATTATGAAAAATAATCCTCGCGGACACTGAGTCTGTGCAATATCCTGTATAGACCACCCTTTTCAGGTGATCAGTGTGGTACACCCTGTACACGTTTTGTGTGCTGTTTTGTGTGCTGCTTGACTTGTACAAAGACCGGTACTACCATGTTGTTTTTTCTATGTCATTTCATGCTGGTCAAGTAAGTTGTTGTTTCTGTCCTTGTGATCGTCGTCTCCCCGATGTCTTTTGTTGCTCTGGCTGTGCATTCGACAGCCTGTAATAAGTATGGAATCAAGCAAGAGTACGAGTGTGAGATCGCCTAATCACAGCCCGCCGCGCGAAGTGCGTGTTCATGTCAGAAATGCAATCAAAACAGTCGCGTTCATGCTCAATCAGCCAATCACAGCCCTTCACGAAGTATTTTTTTTTGTCACTATTTACAAGTCCGATATGAGTTTCAAGCGTGGGTGCATGTCAGAAATGCAATCAAAACACTCGTACTCGTGTTCGATCAGCCTGCATCACAGTCCTTCGCGCTTCGCGCGGCGGGCTGTGATTAGGCGATCTCACACTCGTACTCTTGCTTGATTCCATACTTCTGACATGTCACAAGACTGTAGGCACGGAGATGACCAATCGCATTGCACCTAGCAGGGCCTAGATGAGGCGATCAAAGCATGCTACAAGAAGTAGAACTCCATTTAGAAAAGCGATCCTGTCAGCTTTTCTATTATTGTGTTCACATGGCAGAAAAAACGACACCGCTATGCTACGTAAGTTCCTACGTAAGGTGCTCGGTATTAGATCTACCAACGGGTGGTAGCCGCGTGCTGTGCACGTGCACGGGAGACATTGTGTTGCATGCAGTGCATGCAGTCCGTTTTCGGATGTGCATGCGCGAGGAACTTCCTTCTTTGGAACTGCTTCTTGCATGAGCTGTTTCGGATATTTCGTGTCCTGGCTTATTTCGCTTCGGCTCTGCTGAGACCTCTTTTCACGGAATATTACTCAATGACAGGTGAGTTGACCAGTTCCCTTTGATTCATTTGCTTGTGTTGACTCTTTCATTTACGAAAAGTGTGCTGATTTTAGGTGGAATACAATAAAATAATAATGGAAAAGCTGACAGGATCTCTTTTCTAAATTTAGCTTTTCTGCTGTCGAGGCCTCCTTTTACGGAATACTCAATGACAGGTGATCTCTGAGTTGACCAGTTTCCTTCGATTCATTTGCTTATGCTCACCCTTTCATTTACGGAAACGTGTGCTGATTTTATTCGGATTTAATAGATCCATTCGTATCTCTTTGCCCTTGCCAACAGTGTGCGAAGAACGCGAGTTCACCTTCTTGACGGTAAGGCTTAGATGTGTTGTCGAAATACTCATGTTCATTGTACATTGGTACGTTACAAGTAAGGCACTGGTCATGATTGCTTCCGGCATTCCGTGCTCCGATCATGGGGTAGAATCTGAATTTTGCAGTGGCATAGCATCGTTGGCAGTTCCCAAGCTGGAGGGGAAGGTTCAAGGACGCATTGGCCGAGTACTAGTATGCAAAATAAATTCGCATATCAGGGAAAATCTCCATTATGGAGAGGATCATGCATTCAGTGACTTGTTTGCTTCATACGAAACAAGCCAATGGGTGCAGTCTCGTGAAAATCTCGTACGATTGGATTTGTTTACTCGAGTCTGGGCTGTTTGATTTGTGAGTAGCGCCGAGATTGCACTGCCCCAAATAAAGTTGCGTGCCGGTAGAGCAAGAATTACGATCTGCAATCTGTTTGTTGTACCTGCAAGAATGTGCTGTACATGTATCGTATTTTCTCTGTTGTTGTTTCAGTTGCCGTCATGTTGCTAAAGAAAGGTTCAGTGACTCATTTGTTTCATAAAAGACGAGTCAATGCTTTGGTCTGGCTTAGAATCTTTCGCTGTAGAAGAAATCTATTCGTGTCTCTATTGCAGTATTGGAGAAATAATTGTATTCACTCGTTATAAAATAGGGTCAAGACAAACTCACAGAGCAAATGCCATCGGTCCCTTGATGTTCGTCCTAAAGAGGTTTGACTGGATATCATTCATACTCCCCCAAAGTCGTGTAACATGTTATTATTATGGAGTGCCTTGTATATCTCTCAGTACCTCCAAC